ATTAATCGGAGAAATCAATGCATTTGGAAACACAATAAAATATTAACTATGCTTTGGTAAAATTATAAGCACATTATGTAAGCTGATACAAATTTGTCGCTAATGATGTTTCTTTGTATCAAGGGAAAAAAGTTTTAATTCAATTTTATTGCATTGTAATATAGTTATTATCAATTGTTTAACTATATTGAATTTAGAATCTCAAAAAGATAAAAATGTTTTAGCCATAATCATAAATTATGCATTAATAGTGAAAATATTTTTAAGTTGTAATGGGACAAATTGTTTATTGTAATAGAATGAATTATTTTCGTTATATTTATTTATTTTATCTATGCATTTGTAAAGCTTATGAAATAAATAATTCATAAGACTCTAACCTCATATAAATAAAAATAACAGGATGCTATCTATTTTATTTAGTAGCTCATATTTTTAAATGAGTGTTAAAATACAATATAAAAGCAATAAATCCGATTAATATAAGTCTTTATCACTGTATTATTATCTAACGTAAAGTAATAAGAATGTCTGTTATGTTTGCAAAGATATATTTTGATAAAGTGTAGGTGTTTCTCACTGTCTCTCACATGTATGGATTTTACTTTTGTTAATTTGTTTACTACATCGTTACCTTCCTAAAATCTTACAGTATGATAATGTGCACCACATTGCAATATTTTAATATTATTATGGAAAATATACAATTATTTTAATATTCTGAACAACTATAGTTGGAAATTAATTTGTAATCCATGAAAAAAACTTCCCGCAAAATGTGTTTTAAATAGTAGTGCTATTACTCAATACCTGCAAATGAAGTTTTCAGAGATAATTTAAACACAACAAAATAAAATAATAAACCTAATAATAATTTAAAGGAGAAATTTCATGATAAATTCATTTTCTTAATAAAACTTAAATATAAAATGTTAGAAATACAGAAAAATAAAATAAAATAAATAATCCCAATAAACTTAAGCAGTTAGATATTATTTGATTGAAAACTTCATTCGCTTCCAAAATAAATTAATTGGAAAAAAAGTTGAAATTTTTCAAGCGCTCAAAATTTAGTGCCCAATTTCAAGACTTGCCAGAAGTGAATGAGTTGCCAACGGAAGATGGAAAAATAAAGGGGAAAAGCAAAACTAGAAAAACCACAGTAGCCGAGAAAAAAAAAGAAGAAAGATCACAGTGGCTGAGAGGGGCTAATTAGGGTAAAATGGGGTCAGCTAAGGGGTTTTTGTTCTAGTTTCTATTTGCAACCTTAGGTTTAATATTTCAAATATCTTTTGCTTCTTTTCATCCACGCCTGGCAAGTCTAGGAAATGGGATTTGATAGTGCTTATTTTTAAAAATAGTAAAAGAAGTAATACAACTAAATTTTTATTCCAAATTTTAAATTTTATCTTTGATGCTTTTCTTTTTAAAACGCAAATTTGGTAGTTCCCGATTAAAGAGAAAAAGACTTTTAAGAAAAAACAGACTTTTACAGTCAACAGTATTCTTCGTTTGTTTGCGGGATGCATTGAACTTGGCGACGAATTGAAGATGACAATCTTTGCATTTGATAACCTTTAACTTAAAAATTAACTTGAAACTTGCAAAATTTAATTGATCTATGTTGTCCGAACCTAAACTAAAAGGTGCAACTTAAAATTAAACTGACTAAAATTAAACTCACAAAATAATGAAAAACAATGAAGATGACCAAATGTTTATAAAAATAATAAAATAAAATAATAAACTGAAATTTATTACTCATAAATATCGAATTTATATTATAAGTTTTAAATTTTATCTTTGAGTTTCTGCCTGTTAAAACGTAAATAATGTAGTTTCTGAACTAAGAGAAAAGATTCTTAAATAAAAGTAGTCTTTTACAACCAACGATATTTTTCGTTTATAAGATGTGTTGTACTTAGTTTCGAAATTAAGGTAATGATTGTTGTTTTAGATATTTTATAACTTAAAAAGTAACTCGAAATAGACAAAATAATATTGATATATGATTTTCAACCCTAAATTAAAAGTAAAGCAACTTATAACTAAAGTGAACTGAACTAAACTGAAAAATACCTCGTACATTAAAAAAAAGTCAACATATATGAACCTACCAGTTTAAAATTAAAATCTGACATCCGAGTGTGCTTCAAAATAAGAGTTTTGAGTGAAGAATATTTATCAGTGGTATGTTACTAAGTGGTATGTACTTTCCGTTATGTTCATTTCTAGATCATGTCTTTAATATATCAATTTCAGTTACATTTGTGCAAAGGTGACTAAATTTAAATTAATCTTAATTTATTGAAATTTTAGAACACTATAAAAATTATTGTCTAAAACTACGGAAATTTCATGGTAATTGGAGGGTATGATTTAATGTAAGATACTTTTCTGTTAAATTTGTTTGAAATCCTGCCGTAAACAACACTCAATTAAGTATATAAATGAATTAATACGATTGGTCAATATTAAATAAAAGGAAATTTAAAGGTGTTAAATTCAAAACATTTTGATTTAAAAAAAAGAAAAAAAACTCATGGAAGTTTTAAATAAACCTAAAATACTTACACGTATTTGAATTTAGAATCATGAGTTAAGTTATAAAAATTTCAACACTTAAAAAAGGAAATACTTACTATTTGTTTTTTTTTTCCTAAATATTTATCTAGTATACGGATTAGCAGTACAGCTTGCTTTTAATAAAAAAATTAACTTATGTAATCCATTCCAGTAATAATAGAACGTGAAAAGAAAATAAGTCACAGTATTCGGAGTTGGTAAATGCTATTCATTTTCGTTTAAAATGAAATTAAAAAGTGCAGTTAGTTATAGTTTTTAAAAGCATTTCTTTATTCTGAGTGAAAAACATTCTTAAAGTGTTTCTTTTCGAAATTGGTGGTAAAAATAATAATTCTAGGTGGATCATAAATATAAAAAGCTTTTCTATTTTTAATATTTTTTACTTAATACATGATCTTCAGTAAATATGTTTTTTGGACCTTAAATTTTAGGCAGAATACCAATTTTTGATATCTTTATTTCGGTATAAAAAATATCATATTTCGGTATAAAAAAAATCATATTTCTGAGGAAATAATATTTGAAGAATACAGATTTATTTATGAGTTTCCAATGTTACTTTGTATTAAAGTAAAAAATTGGCTCAAAGTTAGAGAACTCTCCAGATTGCGTTCTAAAATAGATCACCCAACCCCTAAAAAGGGAAATAATATAACAAAATAGGATTTTAAAGCTTATATTTATTCAAGCAAATTCCATATTGTTTTATATTGAACCACTTATTTAATTCAGATACATTTTTGCAATTTATTAGAAAATTAAATTATCTATTTGTTTTACAGGAACAGAGTGATTTTGTTATTTAATTTTAAAGTGTTTTGAATCACAACAAAAATAAATAGACAAAATCACAGATTTTTTTTTTTTTTACTTTTCCACTAATTATAATATTTGTATATTATTTCGATTAGTACAGTGTTTAATTATCAAACAAGAATGGCTCTGTTTGTCAGAACAAAAGTTCTTTTTTTTATGCATTTTAATATCCCTATCTCTGTTAATCTCCGAATTTAAAATACTTGATTCATGAAAATATTCGATACTTTTCTACCATCTAATAAAATATGCTTTTATTTAAATGCAAACATAGTGCATTCATTATATATTTTAGACAAATTTTTAGATTATTTGGCAGTGTAGAAGAATTTTAAAAAAACTTATTTGTAGATTGTTCACTATTAAAAATATTAAATATGTAGTAGCTGAAACGTAAGCTATTGATGAAAGATTCTGATTGTTTTAATTTTTAAACTTTTTCAAAAATTTATACTACTTTAAATTTGCCTTTAACTCTACTTAAGAAACAACAATATTTGAAGCGTTTTTTTTAATTGTTGCAATTTTATGTATATGTATTTTCCTTTTCAACCACGTGAATATAAGTAACCCAAAAAAAGTTAACACTGAATAAGAATTAAACTAAATTTTAAATTATTAATGTCTATTCACAAAATGTGCTCTACATGCAATAAACATCTTTATAAAATTAAATATAAATAATTATCACAATAATTTATCATGACAAGAGAACTATCTTGATTTTACAAAATAAATCCTTATAGATGTGCTACTATTTTTTTTAATTATTTGTGGGTTCTCGGCACAAATGAGCTAAGAGATTCTTACCTGTAAAAAATTTCATTTTCTTTTGTTAAATACCAATGATATGTACTAAGATCAATATTAAGAATATTTCTTAAAGCTATTTGAAATATTAGTCATATGATAAGCATATACAATTGTATTTCATGATTCAAAACCATTATTTTTTTACTTTTCTAATCAAGAACTACTATTTAGTAAAAGTCCAGAATTTCTTCCATAATTCAGATAATAGTAGATACGAAACCTTCAGAAATTTTCACAGCGCCACCTGGCACCGCAAATTACTTTGTAGCATACTTATAGAAAGTTATTAAATGAACTTACTTTATTTTAGATTTTATTTTTTTGTTTTCGTGCTTTATAAAAAAATTATGCTTACATTGATTTGAATTACACAGGGAAAATTTTAACACCAATAATCTTTTTAAGTAGCATAAAAAAATTATGCATTGTGCGTCGTTAAGTTTCTTACTTTTTCAGTTTTATGATATTTCGTGGAACCTTATAATTTTAATTTTTTATATTTTTATTTTTTATATTTTCAATCTTTTATATTTTTATTTTTAAATTTTCATATTTTCATTTTTATATTTTTAATTTTATATATTTTTACTTTTTATACTTTAAATTTTTTTATTTACATATAATTCATATATTTCTTTTTAAGGATCTTAAAAGAAATTTTTTTTAAATATTATGAAAAAAAAACATATATATGATAAATATTTCTATAATTCATAAATATAGAACGGTACTTCATTTAAACTAAATTTAGGACATGTAATAAATATATATATATCTATACTTACCAAATATTACAGCAATGTAGCATATACAAAAACACTTATACAATCATCCAGTATGAATAATTATATGATTTCTATTATTCAACTGTAAGGAAATTCTAATATGCCTTTATAGAACAAATGTTATTATTTGTATCAATAATGAATACTTTGTGTTTGAATACGAATAAACACAAGCTATATGTATTATTATTACTATATATGGCTTTGCACTAATTAAGCATCAAATACTATCCAGCTCTCAATAAAATAGAGAGCTATAAGATATGCGTTAGTTTTATTATCCATGAATATGAAACAGTAACGAAATTTATAAATAAAACACCAACTTTACTTTGTTTAAAAAAGTTAATCTAGTGCACTAACTATTTATTGCTTTTATTTGTAAGCAATGCATTCCTTGTAGGGAGAATAAAACAAACGCAAACGTATCAAGAGTTAGTATCCAGTTTTTGGGATGGAGAGGCGCTCACAAAAGGTCCCAAAACTTCCTTATTGGGATGGTGCGAGGAGAAGTTGGCAAAACCACTTTCAACCCCAACACGACGCAAAGTTGTCGAAAAAATGACGCGGCAAAGCCAAACTTAAAGGAAGAGTATAGTTGGCGCGAAAAAAGATGCGATTGTACTACGTCATTCTGAACAAACTCTCGCTTAAACAAGCAATTCTAGCTGCGAAGTTTAGGAAGCACAGGCTGAAGTTTAGGACGTCAACTCCCTATACTGAGATATGTAGGGGAAAGAGCTCACACCGGACGTTGAGATACTACCGTTAGGGGGCGCTTCATCCCGTACTTAAACTGCGCAGAATTGGGGAGTAAGGGGTATGAATTGATGGGGGATGGTGTTGTCAAAGAGGGTGGGATGAGGGGTCAAAAAGATAAGAGGGATTTTTACTCCTAGGAAAGCCTAAACAAAAACTTAACTGAGCCATAACGCGGTTTTATTAAATAGGAAGCTATTAATCTTGCATCGTTATTTTCAAAGAAATTTTTTTGTAATTTCATTGTTTTCTATTTCACACTCTGAAAATTTAAAACATATGTTTATCAACGGAAACTGAAAATGAATCGTTATATGTAACAAAGGACAGAAAAAAAGGGGCTTTTGTAAAGTGCGTTGTAACTTTTATAGCGTGATATTATTTGTTTATGTTTCTGAAATAAATAAATATGCTTAACAGCCTTTATTATCCAAAGTGCAATAGCTTTTACTACTCTCAGAAATCAATATAGTTAAGGTAATAAATCAAAGCCATTTTACGTTTTATTGTAGTTTTTATGTTCAGTATTTTAATGGTTTTAAATAAGTTTTATGACTAAGATAGGTTTGATGAATTTTAAAATGTAACAACATCTTTTGATATAATCTCGAAAATTAAATCTTCATAATAGGTATCATGCGTGCAATTTATGGGTATTTAGTACTGGTTTATGTTTTGTGGTTGATTATATACATATTTTTTTAATTCTTAAATGATAAAGCACTAGATAGAATAGATCATTTGGGTATAATAGTCCATCTAAAAGGGATAATATTCCTATATTCTGAAACTAATAATAAAATTTTTGAATTTTAAAATTAAGGAACATTTTGCTTTGTTTTATTTCCTGTAGAATGAGAATTTTGAACGGATTTTAGACAGTTTCGAGTCGCTGATTTCAAATCTGCTATCGGTTTCTACCTACAAGCTACAGTTTTCGTATGTAATTTAATAATATATTCCCTACTAAGATTTTTTGAAAATCACTTCAGCTATGAGTGTCACCACTTATCTGCTACGTGAGAAGTGGTAGGAAGAAGGAGATAATACATTTCAGTCTGTGATGTGATATGTTAAAATTATATTTATTCTTTTTTTCCTCATTTTAAAGGAGCAGGCAAGTGTATATGTATGTCTATTAACCTATACAATCTTTATAAACTTTTTAAAAATGAGCAAAGCTAAAAATACAATTTTGAAAAAAAAAAGCCTTTGGCTGTATCCGTTTTAAAAAAAACATTTACCAAGAAGGGAACAAAATTAATTTCAGATTTCAAATCCCTACCCCGAATTAAATAAGATCAAGTACTCGTATAAATGCAACACAAAAATCGTTCCCTATTCTTTATGAAGTTTTAAGAATACTGCGAAATATTCATTTAAGTTTATATTATTTTCAAACTATTTTAAAGGTATGTAAAAGCATAGAATGATTGAGAGATAAATGATCTTAGTTAAAATTTTTGTGGAAAATAACAAAATTGAAATAAATAAACAATCAATTAACTGCCTAACTTAGCGAACTTGCCTAAATGATAGTATGTATACAAGTATTTCGAATTATGTGAAAGAAATCGCATACTACCCACATAGATAGATAAAAGTGGTTTTTCTTAACATGTTGGGGAGGAAAATGAACATGATGTGTGGGGAATAAAGGGTCCCACACAAATACTTACATAAATCATAACTTTTGCACGTGTGAACTTGGTCTTCAATACATGATTCATAAAAATAATAAATATTGGAAGTCTCGTTTCCAATCTACTTCACTTCCTGATGCATTTTTGTTCTCATCAGGATAAATATACAGTTGTTATTCTTATCAAGATTTCACTTTCGTCGAACAGCAGACCCAATTTTGAGTTTACATCTAAAAATGCTCAACGCCGTAGCCTTATAATTTCATAACCCAGCCCATAAGACTCGGGAACTCCTTAATCAAGTATTGGGAGAAATTTTCTTTCATGGAGGGCTTTTTTTTATTGGAATTAACTCACATTTGCGTTACATGGAGCTGAAAACTACTAAAACCTCCCACGGTAACCCGGAAGCAAGGCATTCTAACACATGAACCATCTACTACTGAGGATATTTTGAGCCAGCGCTGTGAGTTTTTCGAACCGGGAGCAGAATTCATATCGATCAGCTACCACTGGGATTCGAACCTTTGCACCTCATATGGAGGCAAAGGCTTTATCACCTGAGCCACCACGGCTCCTATCATTAGTTACCAATTTTAAATTTTAACCAATTGTATGATCTTCGATCGATATGATGATATTTATGTTTCAAAATATATTATGGTTGACACCAACAATCGCACTTTGTAATTTGAAGTACAAAGAATAAAATCATTAAGTTCTCCTCTTTTATATATACTCGTATATATTTCTTTTTTGATTAAAAATGCATGTTCGCAAGACGCGAAGACAGATCAATATGAATGAGTTCATTTCTTTTTTAGCAAATTCTTTTTGCACTAAAACTCTTAGATTAACAGCTTATTTGTAGAAAAGTGAAGCAAATCGATAGAGATCAGTTTTTAGCTGTAGTCTTTCTAAATTTATCTGGTAGAGTAACAAAATAATTATCCATATAGACGATAATTAATTTTTTTTGAAAAACAAAAGTCTGCAGGAATATTAATTTCTGAAGTTCTTGGCAAAACATTTAAAAAATGGTTGATATTAACCCTTTGACGGTTATGAACGAGTTCAGCTCGCAATCGAACCGTGCCTCATAATGCGCGCAAACGAGTTCCGCTCGGGAGCAAGATTTTGACCGTAATGGTTAGTAACGAGCACTACTCGTGCAGTGAAATTTTTCCCCAATGCGCGCTGACGAGCTGAGCTCGTTCGAATTTATTATNTTGACGGTTATGAACGAGTTCAGCTCGCAATCGAATCGTGCCTCATAATGCGCGCAAACGAGTTCCGCTCGGGAGCAAGATTTTGACCGTAATGGTTAGTAACGAGCACTACTCGTGTAGTGAAATTTTTCCCCAATACGCGCTGACGAGTTGAGCTCGCTCGCCATTATTATTCTGCATTGACTATGTTAAAAACGAAAAGTAAGTAAAAACCGTTATTTATATGTACTACGAATACTTTAAGAAAATTTTAATACACGTGAGGCGAGCTATCTATCGCATCCAGAGATGCCAACTTGCTCCGCTTTGTAAAATAGTATTTCCTAGTGATGGCGAAAGTCAAGTCACTTTCAGTTTAGCATTTCTCCTTTGAAGAAATCTTTTTCACCTCTAAATATCAAAAACTATAAGTAACATACAAAATGCACCGTTAAAGCAACAATCTACTGGTTACTCTATTAAAAAGTAGGCGTATAACTGTTCTTCTCCAACGAAATTTACTACATAATTTGCTACCACTTTATTATAACAATTCCAGAAGACGGAGCAGTTGGCATCGCCAGAGAAGGGTGACATTTTCGGAAGAACGGAGGTGGAAAACAGATGCCACTTTCGACTACTGTTTGCACGTAATACTGCGCGAATTAATGAAACGAAAACTGCTCATTTCCCTGACCGTCAAAGGGTTAAATATCTTATACTTACTGCAGGGATGCCAATTGCTCCGCTTTTTGCATTAGTTTTAATAAATTGGTAGCGAATTTAAAAGCGAAATCTCCAATACAAAGGTAATTCCGCCTCTCTTTTAAAAAAGTATCAACGAAATAAATGCAATAAAGTTGTATTTGATATAACTCTTCGAATTTTTGATATGTAGGGGTGGAAAAATGACTAAAAGTTTTTTAAAAAAAACTTACATTTCGTTACTACTAGAAAATATTTTTTATACAAAGTGGAACAAGTTGGTATATCTGCTTGCTGACATTAGGTTAAGGCATACCTGCCAACTTTTAATCCCTTCCATTATCATTTTTCCCAGTGGTACTAAAATGAAATTAAAACTTCAATTTTAAGTAAACAAATTAGTTGTATTTGAGAAAACTTAAGCTGACAACCACGTTAGTGACGCATATTAATATATGTGCTTAGTTTTTGTAAGAATAGTGGTGATCAAAATCACTTAAAAATTATGTTTATAAAAGAAAAAGTAGTATATATTGACTACCACTTTAAATATGAAAATAAAATCTTCCGGAAAATCCGGAAGAGTTGGCAGGTATGGGTTAAGGTATCTGACTATCGCAAAAACATGATTTTTGACAAAATTTCGGAAATTGAGTTTATTATGAATTTAGAATCCCTGCACTTTTATCTTTCTAATAATACTTTTGTTTTTACTCCAATCAATAACAAAGTTATAGCAGTTTTTATGCAAGGTGATGACAGTCAATAGACTAGTGAGGGTAAGATTCTAAATGCGTTCATCTCAAAATCAGATTTTTCATATTCTTCAAAGAGCAAATTTTGAAAATTTGCTTTTTTAACTACATCGATCCTTAACTTAGTAGTATATATACTTGCTTTTAAGATAATAGTTCAAAACATAGCTGATAGACATCTAAATAAAATCCTCAAAGGACATCTTGTTTCGGGCTATAATTTTTTTTTCTGTGTTTAGCGTAAAAAAAATGGGATATTTTCGCCTAAAAATGTCTATTTAAAGATTTTGTTTTTCACTTTTATAAGTTTTTACATATAATAAAACAAATACGCTAGTTTTCCAAAATTTATATTAATATTTTTTAAAAAAAGTTGTTGAAACTAACCGTACACATTAACTTAATTTCTTCCGACGCTGCGTTTCCACAAAACCTTAAACTGTTGTAAGAGCATAGGTGTCATATTACATATTCATTGATACTTGATGTCATTGATACTTGATTACTTACTCATGTCATTGATACTTGATTGCACTCGAAGGCACCATAAATTATCTATCAGTTTGGATGTTAAATTCTTTACACTTTAATGTTAATTAATCTCGTTATTTAACTCAGGTTTGACACGGGCGATAAAAAAGTAAA